TCCACTTAGGAAACAAAATAAAATCTTAATTTAAAAATAAAATACAAATCAGACTTATTTAGTGTGGTCTTTCTTCACACTTACCCTCCAAGCATACTTGCCTTTTCAAATAATAACAAAATATATTTTCTTGATTACACTACTATCCTATGTGTCTTAATCCTTTATATTCTTTCCCCTAAATGAACGTTAAAGAAGATTTAAGAATTGTCCCTAACAGTTCTACCGGGTAACTCAAAATCACCTGACAATCTTTCCCAATGCTTATATTATTATATTCTTGTGTTCCACTCTTCCTTCAGTAACTATGTAAGATCACCACCACGGGCCAGTTCTCCACCAGATAAGTGCACTACAAAGAGTAAGTGGCAGTGGGGCACAGCTGCACACACCTGCAATCCCAGGGCTTGGGAGGCTGAGGGAAGAGAATTGTGAGTTTGAGGCTAGCCTGGGATACATGAAAAGGCCTTATCTCTAAAACAAAGAAAAGCAAATAAAATGAGTTGCTGACCTGAACTGAAGAGAGGAATGTAAAACGGTTTAGTAAAGGGCAGGGAAAGGTTCACAGAGAGATAAATATTGAGGAAGCACTCCATGGGACATTCCTGTGAAAAGTACCCTGGCTTAAAATAGAACAGTAACCTGTCCACAGGGTCACAGGAAGCTGCACAGAGTCAGAGCACAAGACACAGGAATGTGATAACAGACAAGACAAAACAGATACGGCCTGAAAGGCAGAGCTAAAATGTCTGATTTCAGCCTGCTGAAAATCTTACAAGGGCTGTCCCAACCACGGAAACTTCCCATCACAGGAATTCTAGTTTGGGTCCCACAGACCCTTTTAGAAAAGTGATGAATCCTAATGCTCTGTTCTCAGAATGTTTTTATATGCATAAAATAAAATACGTAGACTTCTAACTAATTTCCATAGAGTCCACACTTCAGTAGTACAACATAATATAGTACCCTGGCACCGGAGAAAAAGCACCAGCAGGAAAGCCACGTTCACCTTCCTCTTGCCTCAACCCTGAGTAAGTCGTGCAACCTAGGGAAGTCCCCCTGATTTCCCCCCCTTACCCCACTAAAATAGATCATACGATCCTCACTGGAGAGGTGGTCCCCCAGCCCAAAGGAAAGGGAACACTGTCACACGCTCTCAGATGCCATGAAATACTGTATGTATTACTACTTTAATATTACCATAAATAGATCTGCCTAGGGAAGTGACCTAGCATGCCTGGCATGGCAGTACATACCTGCAGGATCAAGAGACCAGAGAAGAATCTAAACAGCCGTGCCTTGCTAAATGCCCCTTATTTTATGACTATCACACCCCTGTTATCTAATCGTACTTCTCCATCACTACCTACGTTTCTATTGAACCCAACATCAAAAGGGCAAGCTTATCTGTTTCTTTGGGCTGTTTTCTTATAAAGACTCCATGATACGCAATACTTAATATTTGTGTGCTTTTCTCTTGTCAACTTTCCTTTTGTCCTAACAGCCTCAGTCATGAACCTAGCGATGAGGGAAGAAAAGAAGCCTCTTCTCTTACACTTCCAAAGGACAGTTCAGAAAGAGGAAAGGGAGTCACTCTACGGGGGAAATACCTGAAAAGCACTACACTTGGCTAGGTGATCAAGGTTAACAACCGTGATCACTATGACAGCTTAGAGAACCTGGATAAAGACAACCATGGAATGGCAGCTTACCCTTTGACCTTAATCCCTGACAGGTCCTAACAAGTTACAGTCAAATCATTGATCCTTAAAAACAATTCTGTGACACAGTAATATAGGTTCTTTGTTAGTTCATTACATTTTGTAAATTATTTTTTGGATTTTTATGACAGGGTTTCACGTAGCCCAGGCTGGAGCTTGGCCTGGAGCTTACTATGTAGCTGATGGTGACCTTGAAACTCCTCACCCTCCTGCTTCTACCTTCCAGTTGCTAGGATGCAGGTATGTATATACCGGATACATTAAGTAACATCTATAGGCAGGTCTAACTATCGCAATTTCAAAACAGTGCTAAATACAGTATTTCAAAGTCTCAAATTGCCATAATAGGTTTCTCTTCGTATCTTTAGGGTGTTACTTCCAGATCCTAATTTGAATACCAAAATCTGCAAATGCTCAAGCCCCTTATAGAAATGGCACACTATTTGCATACGACATATACATTCTCTTGTATACTGTAAATCATCTCTAAATGTAATAGAAATTGTATCTAAGTAGTTACCAAACTATTATTTATGGAATAATAAAAGAGTGAGTCTGTGCACATTCAGAATGCAAGTTGTTCGAATTACTTTCTATGTGTTGTTGTCTGGATCCAAGGATATAGAATCCACAGACTAGGAAACTCAACTTTATGAAATCATCTGAAATTTCCACAGCAAGAGCCAAATGCATTACTAGTATTTCAGTAGCTTGTGGTCTACAGTCCAAAATGAACAAACAGGGCTTTCCTCTCTTGGCTCCTCCCACTATCAAGAGTTTTTGTTCTTCACACATCTGTCTGCTCTACACACACACAAAAAAAAATGAATAAACAAAAATTTTCATTTAGAGCTTAGTAAAAATAACAAGTAACTGTTTTCTGTAACATGTTCAAGGACCTTGAGCTACATCTATGTATTCATGGCCATATGTTACCACTCCATTCTCTCAAGGCAAAAAGAACTTGAGTACTAACATGAAATGGATACCTTGTCACAGAATCTCTGATAGTCACTGTTTACACTTGTTGCTGAACCCTCAGCCACAATACCATTCCACACATTTCTTAAAGCAATGTGCCCAAAAGTGAATTCCAACGATAATGTGATTCCAAAAGAAGACTGACAAATACCTCTGAAGTTTTTCTGGACTCAAATGCAGCAATTTTGAGCAACACTCAATAACTGACCAATGTTTCCACCAAACAATCTGTTTACTGAATCTTGTTAAAACTTAAATAATTCCTAAAATTCCATAGGAATTATCACGAGCGGCCCAGCCAACTCCCCAAAAGGGCAAACCTGAAAGGTCCTCACCCTCATACATATCTACAGAGTGGAACTCGGATTCCAGTTTTCAATTGTCAGGACCCCTTAACACCTTCCCTAAGGTTTGTGTGTGGGCCACGTGTGTGTTTACCTAAACTTGCAAACATGGAAAAAATCTAGGGCATATTTGGTCTGTGGCAATTCCTTACTTTCTCCAACCAAGTATTAGCTATTCTATTTTCTCTAAGCTTCGTTCTCAAATAAAAGTGTGTATCTGATAGACAAAGCAGACTTTGCAAAAATAGTTACAGCCTTGAATAATTCATTTATAACTATCTAAAGTACTTATTTGTTGATAAATGCTATTGTATGAAAGCTAAGTCCAAATTATGGCTTTGCCCTAGAATATGCCAGTTTCATCGGGAACTATAATTTTTCATCTCAGGTCGCATCTGCTCTTTACCAGCTGGGCTATCTTGGATAAGTTACTATAAGCCACTGAGGCGGCAAAGGTTTCCCATTACTTGCAGTATCTACAACTGATAACACAGTATTTTATCATGTAAAGACAGAAAGAAAACAGTTCTAAAGCATCGGGGAAAGTGTCAAACACTGACTCTTTGGGCACTACATACACGGATAGGGAATGCTTGCAATAACAGTCTGCACTTTACTCTTAAGTGGTAAATACTTGCCTAAATAATATTTATAGAAGATCTTTGATAAAATATTTTCCAGTTGGTTTTAGCTAACCTTTTAAGTAACAAGAGATTTGTTCAAGAGAAGGATTTCATCTTGCTTTGCAAGAAGCCAAGATCATATCCATTTAAGGACACATGAGAGGCTGCAGTCACACATTTTTGTTACCCACAGGAAAGAGGAGGCTGAGTATATTCTGCTATAAGCACTTTAAAAATTACAAATAGGTTCTCCAAAACTAAACAGTCAACTCTAAAAATCAGGATATGCGAGCGTGCTGATTTACGTACATGTAATGTAAAAGCAATAAAGTATATGAAGAGAAAGCAAGACAACCATGCTCGGCTCTGCAAAAGGACTCAGTTCTATCCAAAGACAATCAAATTACAAGTGTGATTCTACTTTCTAAAATTCGACTTACACTTCAGACAAGAAAATGCTAGATTCGTTTTGAAAATTGCTCCAACACTTAAATTTCAGCACTTCAAAATCTGGTCAACAATGCCTCATTGCCATACAACTGACAAGAACCTACAGTCATTTCTTTCTAAAAAGCTACCTTTGGTACTATACCAGCTTATTCAAAATCGATTAGGTTTTTGTGGTAATATAATGTAGCTATATAAAAAATCTTAAGTACTTAAATTTATATTTTACTATCTTTCTGGGGACAATACATACCTATGGAAATATGGAATCATTTATTTAAAACATTGTTAAACTCCTAACTGAAGAAAAATATAATAAATTAAATACATGTGCCCCTCCTCAACTATAAGAAAAATCTTTTCTTTTTCAAAACCCAAAGAAATTGTTAACCTAGTTTCCTCACCCACATTCTCTCCCCTATACCTAGGCAGATGAGGCACAAATACAAAAGAGGACAGGAAAAGGCATCAGATGTCGCCTAAGGATGTTCACTGGAGAAGCTGCAGCCCTAACGCCCCGGCAGCTCCATCAACACTGCCCTGCCAAGCCCACACCATTCCTCTCCCGCGCTGCCTGCATTCCATTACATAACAAGTATTTCAGTCTTCTAGACCACGTATATACTTATCTCCTCGTCCGAAGATGTGTGGCTCTTTAAGGAAAGCTACCTACTATAAGATGTGCAGTCTACCATAACAAAGCTCACTTATTTTATTCTCAGTTATCTGCTACACACATTTTAAAACCTAAAAGTGGAGCATAAAGTGTTAATGACCTTTCCACAGCTAAAGTAAGATAAGTTCTAAGGTTAGGTTGTGATAAGAACAGGGCTAACCAATCGTAACATTAGAATTCCTGTGTGACATCATAAGACCTCCCTAGAACACTTTTTCTCCTCCACCTACTTCAACTGTTCCCATAAACCTGGGAACAGAAAACTGCCCAGCTAAGACCACATAAGACTTCACACAACTTAATACTCTGCATTGGGATGATCACAGAAGCCAAGGTAAGACATGATTATCACTGATTTGGGAAACTCTTACTTTCTGTAATTCAAACTTACCAAACTTTTAAAAGAATCCTATCTTCCAAATTCCAATTCCAAGTTAGATAATACAAGAACCTGTTATCAATAACAAAATGCTTAATTTCTAAATACATGCTTACCTATTTACTGACAGTAAAAATTAGGCAACTTTAAAAGAGGTTCTATTCATCTTCAAATTTTGGTTCCTAGTTATTTTGGTTTTTCAAATATGAACTTCTTCCAATTTAAAACCCTCTCAATTATAATAGTATATATGGTGGTAGAGATAAGTTTATTTTCATGCAAAAGAAATGGTTTCATTTGTTGTGTATTGTTCTGCTGGGACAGTGCAGGACAGGGCCACTGACAGCCGTGGGACAGTTTATTTATAACTCATCCCTAGCTGTGGGACACGCACACTACTAGCACACTTACTCTGATGCTATCATATGGATCTTAAGGTGACACAGTAAGAGTTTTGAGAATAGATAATAGAGCTCCTTTTCAAATGCTTGGAGATGTTACTCTCTAAAGAGTCCAGTCAACTTCTAAACACTTCTAGAACTTCCATTTTCATAAACAGAATGGCTTGTTTTAAGTTTCATACTATAAAAAAAAAGCTTGAGATTTTTTTAAAAAACTTATCAAAACAAGATTGTTTAAAGCAACAGAAAACTAATTTAACACTTTAAAATAAGGAAAACTTTTGGTATCCAAGCATTTCTAAATAGGAGAAAATTCGATAAATGTATAGTCATCTAACAACAGAATGTGCTTTTATCAAGTTTTTATTCTCCAGTGTTCCTAAATTTCCTGTTATAAATTTCTAAGTCACACACACACACACACACACACACACACACACACACACACACACACACACACATAAAAAATGCCCAGGAATGGATATGCCACAAAAAAATTTATTATTGCCATTTGTTACAAATCTCAACTTACTAAATAAAATGTTTTCTCGTCCTTAAATCTATTACATAGAAAATTGTATCAATCTTTATTTCACTATTTATATTCATAACATACTTATATGCTAAAATAAAACTTTCTCAATTTCTCAACTGTTGCTTCTGACAAAAACAATTTTGGAATATCCTAGGCAGCATTCTTAACATGTAGAAACTTTTCCAGCATGTATCTCTAATGCTGAGGATCCATAAACTGCCTCTTACTCCTTTAGTATTCTTAAGATTACTTTTCCTTTGAGAGTATACAAATGACACTTGGTGCCAAGTTTTGATAAGCATTTCTGCATGTTTTTACATTTTTGGTGTGTGTGTGTGTGTGTGTGTGTGTGTGTGTGTGTGTGTGTGTGTGTGTGTGTGTAAGAGATAGATGGGGGAAGAGCAGCCATGGCATGTGTGAAGGTCATAGGCTAGCTGGTATAGTCAGTTCTCCCCCTCCACCACATAGGTTCCAGGAATTGAACTTGTATCAGGAGGCTTGGCAGCAAATGCCTTCCCTGGCTTTACTCACCGAGCCATCTCCCTGCCCCCTGCACTTTTACTTTAAAGAATATCAAATATCAATAACATTCTCAAACTTCAATGGGGTGTGCAAAAGGTTTTTTCAATGGTGAGAGAGGGTAGGTAATGAGTTTTTTCCCACCAGAATTTCCATACATCACTTTGTTCCAAAAAGTAGACAACTTCTAGAAAAAAAATACAATTTCTATTATTAAAGTAGCTTTAGCAACGTAAGAGGATAGCATAATTAGTGACTGTGATTAAAATTTTCAATAAAAAGCCATAATACCCAATACGTTTGAACTATGTATTTCTACATAGCTTTACGGTGACATTGAAGTATTTTGTTTATAAAGGTATATTCTTTAAAACCAAGCACTAAAAAAGTCAGATAAAATCAAATGGAATAAATATAAAAGATATACAAAGTATGAAATATAAACGTTTTAACATGGGGAAAGGAATGAGATCATTTGCTTTTCCAAGAGGAACTGCGTCAATGTCATTTCCTAAACCAAATCAAAACTATTTTAACAGTATTTTGGTAGACATAAAGGAAAATCATTGCATTTGGGTCATATATTAACAAATGCTGTTTCTTAATCTCACCAATTTATTAAGATATTATTTGCATTTAAAAGTTCAAGCAATTAAAATCTTAATGTTTAAAATATATCAAATAAATTAGAAGTTACAGTGGTTATGCAATTTAAATTATATATTAAAACATGAAGTGAGAATGATTAAAGTATAGATCACACCTCTACAGACTAGACAGTATAAATAAACTTCCTTACTCTGATGAACAATTTCCTAAGTGCACTTACACACAAATACTTTCTTTCATCTTAATTCTTGGTGTGTTTGGCTCTGCATCTCTACATCACAATTTAGAAAACAGACTCAAAGAGGTGAGCTGGTCAGATTAACAGCTACATGCAAATAGGCAAACTTCATCAGGGGAGGCCATGTGCACATCACATCCTATTCACTGTTTCCATGGTTAAGATAAATCAGTGTACTGACCAAGTTCAGTAAAGAAAGTGCTAAATGTTGTAAAAAGTACTTTCTAAAGACAAATGTAAAGGATGCAAACTTCTGTTAACTTCAAAAAAGCGCTCCATTTAAGGTCCATCAAGTGTTGTGTCTCTACTACTCTGTTTATTATCCTAGCTATCATTTTCAAAGCCAGGCATAAAAAATTACAGATTTCTTTAATTATCAAGCAATAAGTTCTAGTCAAAAAAGTTCACAATAATCACACTGACCTTAACATGCCACAATCAATCAAATTAAAATCTTCAATTATTTAGCTTGCTTCAATGATAAAAAAAATATGCCTCCAATCCATTTAGGCTTGTTACCTAAAAATCAGTAATTTTTCCCCTTAACTTTTCACAAAAACTTCAGTACTTTATTCCACTCCCATAGCCAATCCCTACATTTCATCAATTTCATTTCTTACTCACTCTCCCATTTAAAAACTACTCAAGATCATTGCTTTCAAGGTTCCTGAACAAAAGAATCTTGCTCTGTTATTTACATTAAGAAAATAATTTTCATCTAATATGTAAATTCACACATTGATCATATCAAGAAAAGCAAAAATTTAGAATTGGGAATCAAGAGCATAATCCTTCTAAGTTCCAGCAGCATGAAGTGGTAAGACTCGGTCTCTTCAGACATTTCCAAAAGGGTGCATCAGTATCCTCACCTGACACAATTCTGAAGCAAGCATGACCAAATAAACACATGGAAATAAAGCCTGAGTGTGTATGCTCCTCCCTCCCCTCAACAGAGTCACGATCAACTGAGGACCTCTAGTGCTTTAGAGCATGTACTTCTCCAGGGCTTTCAAAAACAGCAGGGGTATATTTGCTAAGTGCTATTCCATTTTCCTTAGTACACCCATAATACTCTCTCCCTACATTCTCTTTTTGAAAAATACAGAATCTGAAACCTTAATATAATCTTAAAAACATGTTCAAGGTGGCACACACTGGTAAATCCCAGGCTGAAGCAGGACTGTAGAATTCAAGACTAACCAGTGCGACACAGTAAGTTTAAGACGAGCGTGGACTATACAGTCCAAAAACAGGACTGTGTTAATACAAACAAATGCATGTAGTTTTCAACATCAACAAAAATAAACCTACAGACAAAACAGGCATAGCCATGAGCCAATTTCAGGGGGAAGATCTCCATCCAGTTGTTAAATGACTCCTCTTCAAGACAGAAATGTAAACAGGGTATTTCTTTATTGGGCTAATTTGGTAATCAAAGACCATAGTATTATGACCAATTTCTATCATAATCAGGTAGAGGCAGCTGAAGGACTCTTTGAAGCTTCAGTCTGCACAGAAAAGCTGGGGTGCTGCTGCCACAAAGGAACTGGGAATAGAACTTACCAGTTTACAATTTGGTAAGCTTAAACTTTTATCTCAGTGAACTTTCACAAACTAACAGGTTGATTTTATAAATCAACTGTCCTAATTTAGTTTAACAAGTCAAAAAAAAAAAAACAAACAGGGAAGAAAGCAACTTCTAGCTTCTTGGCAAAAATGGTAATGAGTACCTGGAAGAAAAACACAGAAAACAAAAACCTCCAAATCTTAATAAATTATAAAGACAACTCATACAGAATTCTAATCGTCTAAGTTAATCATATGGGAAAAATACTAAATGTGTCTGCTAGACGGTGGCCCTAGGTATTTAGTATTTGAATTTTCAAGCATAATGTAGCCAGTTTTCTTAAAGGCATAATAAACAAGTAGACAAAAACAAGAGAGCAGCCAAAGCCTCCAATTCAAAACTTACGTGAGCAAGCTCAAGAATGTGAGTTTGGCAGAAGCAAGCCCCCAAATCCTCAAGTTCAGAAAGTTCTACAAGGCAATGAAAGCGTTTACAGTGGGATTCCTACTCATCGTATACAAAGATGTTAATGTGTCAGTTACCTGTACATCAGAAGACAGGCCACCAAAAGTTTTCCAAGTCTACTGAGGTTTCTTTTTCACAAGAATACATCTAACACACTGTTGAAGTCGAATTCATGCAAAGTTAAGGATTCCTGTAGGAGTTGATATGTATGACTTCTACCCAATAGGTTCCTAACAAAGTATATGACACCTTTTTGTTTGTTTGTTTTTGGTTGTGTTTTTTTTTTTTGTTTTTTTGGTTTTTTTTTTTTTGAGATAGGATCTCACTGTGTAGCTCTGGTTGGCCTGGAACTTGCTACGTAGACCAGGCTGGCCTCAAACTCACAGAGCTCCCGCCTGCCTCTGCCTCTGGAGTGCTAGGATTGGAGCATGCACGACCACACCTGGCACTATGACACTTGAAGGGTTATGGACGCCTGCAGTTTTCCTCTTTTCTCTTTCTATTAAAAAATAATGGTAAGACACTCTTTGGAACTTAATTTCTTAGGTTCCAATTTTAACTTCTTTAAAGAGAGAGAGAGGTCATACAGCTTCAGCTAAGAAAAGGAAAGAATTAATGATAGCATTCAGTCCTTCCAAAAATGAAAGCAGACCCCACATATACACAACACAACACTGGGTACTTTTCTGCTCCTTCCATACAGCTTAAAGACATGATCTGGTATTTCCCACAACCAAACACACATCTTTCCTATTTCCAGTACTCTAGTTCTAAAGTCAGAATGATTAAATTTTAAATTAGTCTGGAAGTGAATAGGCTCCTTGTTCCTAGTAGACACCCAACAAACATATATGGCCTTCCTTTTAAAAAAGGGTGTGAGAGGCTAACTTGACAACCTAACACAATCTATTTCTGGGTATCCTAAAAGATGCTCTAAAAAGATCAGCTAACAAACTATTTTTCTAACTGTCCATCAAATATTAGTGTATTAAAGTGTTACTATAAGAAAGAAAGACTGTGGCATTTCCACTTACAAAGCAGTCATCAGTGCAGAACAGAAAAGACCACCTGATCCCCTTGTTACAAACACCAGGCCGAGCTCCAGTTGTCCAGTTGAAGAGAGAGAAGAGGGATTCTATGAGGAAGTGCATCAGGATCATGATGGGGAAAACTACAGAGACAACCAACCCAAACTAGTGGAAACTCATGCACTTTAGACCAACAGCTGTGGAGCCTGCATGGGACTCGATTAGGCCCTTGGCAGAGTGAGACAGTTGTGTAGCTTGATCTGCTTAAGCGGCCCCCTGGTGGTAGGATCAGAATCCATCCCTGGTGCATGAGCAGGTCTTTTGGAACCCACTTCTCTGATGGGACACCTTGAGGGAGAGGGGGGGCTTGGACCTGCCTCTAGTAAATAAATGTACCTCCCCATGGGAGGCCTTGACTTCTTTCTTGTAGGAGGGAATGGGGGAGAGGGTTGGGAGGGGGAGCCTGGAGGGGCAGGAGGAGGGAAGAAGGCGATCTTTGGTACGTAAAATGAATTAAAAAATTTTTCTTCATTAAAAAAAACTGTAACGTCTGTAGTGAGGTACACATAGCTCCAAAGTTAGGTCTGCACTGTTCTTAACTTTCAGCTTTCCAATTCTCAACATATGAGAAGAAGCTCCATTATGAAGGAATATAGCTTAATCATTACCCTACAGATTTTAGAAACCCAGCAAAATACCAATTATAGCACTATAAAATAAACTAAGAAAAAAACTTACATGTATACCATGGACATTTCCTCATATAAGGAAGATATGCTTTCAGTTTTAGTCAAGATTATACATTGCTACAAATCACTTTATAATTATGACAAGTTTCTAAGCTTTCCAAGAAGCATGTTAGTTTTTGGTCTGATCACTATGTGTCCTTTATATCCAATTCTCTCATTTATTGAACAAAACTTTCAATAAAAAGCATTGTGAGATGATGCTCTAAGTGTGTCAATCATGTTTTATTTTATTATAGATTTATTTTTTATTTGTGTGTACATGTGTGTCTGTGTGAAAGTCTGCCACATGTGTGAAGGTACCCGAGGAAGCCAAAGAGGATGCTTTAGTCCCTGGAACTTGGAACTGCAGGTGGTTGAGAGTAGCCTAGCCTGAGGGCTGGGGAGTAAACCCACATCCTGTGGAAGAGCAGCTAGTGCTCTTAACCACTGAGCCATCTCTCCAGCCCCTGAAAGTGTATTTTCAGTAGTTGATAGCACATCTCTCTATATCTCACAAGCACCCACTTGTACAAAGCCTAATTCAGTTTAATGATGAGTTAAACAGGAGACCATCAATTTTGGAAACTCCTCCTCTAAGCCATATTTTCTTCATCTATGAATAGAAGAGTCTTAAGAAAAATATTAGTGCTGATGAGTTTAGTATCAAATCCTATGAATCAAAGTGGTTAATATGGTAATTACAGTGCTGCATTTTTTTAACTATTTTCTAAAAATTTTAGTCACAAAAGTCTCATTCAACTTTATGGATTGAATTAAATTATGCTAATTTTATGCACAGAGACACAGAATGAGCATATGCTTCCTTCACTCATATACTAGAGCTCATGTTGGGGACACTGACGCATAGACTAAAATGACAGCACAGCCAGACATCCTGACTGAGCGACACCACATACTGTTAAAACTCAGCAAAGGTGACGGTTTTACTGACGGGCTGAGAAGGTCTAATTAGAAGTGTTTAAACTGGGCTTTCAGGATTCATTTCGTCCAGCTGAGAATCAAAAGGTAAAGGGGTAGATGTGGCATTCCAAGTAGAGGCAGAACAGCACGTCAAAAGGCACAATCCTAAGAGAGAACATAGTGTTTACAGAAATGGGACATTTCTCGGGCCTCAATTACCAAGTGTCAGGCAGGTAGAGAACAACCCCTGTACATGCTTTATGATGAACTTCTGGAAAGTTCATTCCTTTTTCCTGTGTGTGTGTGTGTGTGTGTGTGTGTGTGTGTGTGTGTGTATGCCTGTACCTGCGTGTGTGTATATACATGCACGTGCGTGCATGTGTGTGCTGTGACAGTTTCACTTTGTACCTAGGCTGCCCTCAAATTTACAATCCTGTCATGGCCTCACACATGCTGGAATTACAGGTATGAACCACATCTTTTAATAACCACTGAAATATTACAAAAAATAGGCTCAAATAGGAATTATCAATACTAATTCATATTTCTCTCAAAACTATACTTCATTATATATCTTCCTATAAAAGGACTTGTCAAATATATAAATTCTCCAACACTATAAATTCCCTTGACCAATAATAACTAAGAGAAGCACATACTACTTAAAGGATGCATTTTCTTAAAAAATTACTTTATTCCTGTAGCATTTTAATCTGGAGATAAAGTAATTAAATACACCAAGTTTGAGTTCCCACCTTTTAAATGTGAAATTCTATAAATTCATCCACCTCTGCTAGACAATAGAGACCACATGCTAGACAAATACAAGCTGCTACTAACTCCTGAGAACAGATTTAGACGTAAATTGACTCGGTGTGGCTCCTCATCATAGGCACACACACGATGGACAGAGAATTTCACTAAATGAAAATCCAGTCTATTACACAATTCAAATCCTAACAGAGCCAAGTTGAAGAACTCAGACCACAGCATCTGACTGGCTTATAGCACACAGCTTCTCTATAAAATAAACACCAAGTTCTAACTGGGTCTGCCTGATGCAGATGCTCCCCTTTCCCAATCTCCTCACTCTCCTCCTCAGCACTTGTCTCATGTGTAGGGCCAACAGGCTGAGGTGATTCACAAGGAATGTAGAGCGCCTAGGGAGGAAATCCAAGCTAGCAGCTAGAGTCTAGAGTAACATCCTGCTGAGAAGGATGCATCCACAGATTAAGACACAGTTGTCCCTAGACAGTAAATGATCACATTTTATTTCTTTCTGTTCTTGTTTTAAAACTGACACAAAAGTGTTCTGATAAAAAACAAAATATCAGTATGCGAAGGCAGAAAGGGGGCCTCCAGTTTGAGGCCAGCCTGGTTATGTAGTCAATTTTGGGCCAATCAGGATTGCATAGCAACACCTTGTCTCCAAACAATAAATAAAATGTTAGTGATAGAACAATAATAATGTCAAAGTTTAAGTAGCCCCTGCCTTCAGACACTTTATTTTAAACCTGTATCTAATTTCCTATTAGTAAGATTTGTTGTGTTTGTTAATTATCCAAGCTTTAGACCATACATATTCAGCAATGGTTTAGAAACATTGAAAGGAGGCCAGACACAAACCCACTCCTGGTAAGCTCAAAGAGTAGCTGAAACTGGAACTGTCCATGGTAGTTTGTACAATAATCATTACTGTGCCTTCCAAGCTTGGCAGTCTTCAGTACTCAATAACATGGTGTTAAAGTGTTTAAAATACATTTGACAGGGGGCTAGATCTGGGAAGAGACAGGAAGAGGATGTGAGTATGATCAAAATACACTATGATTCTACAAAGGTGAAAATCATAAAGGAGAATGGAAAACAGCTGGAATCTGTTTATTTCATATTCAACTTCTCAGTGAACTGTTTTACTTTGGATTAAAATTAAGATCCAAGATATAATATACTATATGCATCTCTGTTGTATGACATTAGTCCTGAAACACTTATAATAATAAATGTTCACATCAATTGTGTTTACAGAGAAACAGATTTAAAGAAACTACAACATTCCCTAAACCAAGTAATACCTGCCAAAAACTACAGTTCCTACAGCTCACACAAGACAAATGAGACTGTGCAGTGACATATGAGATACAGAAGCAGAAGACCATGGAGACAGGAGACAGTTGATGTTATAACGCACAGAGAGAAGGAAGATGAATTAAGGCAAACTTGTGCACACCTATCCAGAGAATGTGTTTGGGTATGAGCCTAATCCATAACTGTGTTTACATTCCAGGCCTCTTAAAGGAAGACAGCTCACACTTGCCTGCCTGCTATCATCTTTTTATCTCCCTCTTGACCACTCAAAACGTGAGTCTTCCTGCTAGTGCCTTCCTGACGCCATGGAAAAAGTCCAGTACCTCACCCGCTCTGCTATCAGGAGAGCCTCCACTATTGAAATGCCTCAGCAAGCACGGCAAAATCTCCAGAATCTATTTATCAACTTCTGTCTCATCTTGATCTGTCTCCTGCTGATCTGCATCATTGTGATGCTTCTGTGAAGTGCTGCTGCCACCTCCACATCTGTAACATGCCAGCTCAGCTTCAAACCCCGCGCTCCATCAAGAGGAGAAACAATACAGCCTCCTCCCTGCCCAGAATGTCTTTGTGAAGGTCAAGATTAAGAGTGAAACAAATTGTTAGCCAATGTATTCATCTACTGGATCTTGTAAACAAACTTTACAATGACTAGGTGTGCATAATGTAGCTGCCAATTTCCTCAAAATGGCTCATAAATTTCTTTCCTAATTACTTCTGACAATGAAGTATGAGTTTTAATTTTGAAACAGCACTGCGAAAAAAGTTCACTTTCTACATCTAACACTGGCTTTACTGCTAAGAAGCTCACTTTATAGCTCCAGTTTGAGGGATAAATGAAATGTATACTGCATTACCAACACTTTTTTTTTAAAACAGGAACTAAGTATTCTTCAGGTCTCCACAAAGTAGAAAAACAATAATTTAAGTGAAGTGTTCTTATTTAAAATAGCTCACTGAGTCCTCACATGTATGACTATCATTATTATTACTATATTATTATACAGAAGTCTTAGTAGTTAATCTGTCAGAATAAATACATTGAAATAAAGATTGTGCCTTTTATCTATACACTAATATTTTAAGCTTATAAGAATCAAATAGGGAAAAGATCATATTATCATATAAATAAAATTCCTTATCACTAATTTTTCTCAAGGATAATGGAATTCAAGTATATTTAAGTTAACCACATATCTGCTCTCTCCAGAGCTTGGTGATCAACAAGCAAGAATAACTTACTGTGTGGCTGTGATAATTACTAATAAAGCAGAATCTCACCTGAATTTGACATTGACATGGATATCCTTGGTTTAGACGGTTTCTCCTATTCCAATCAGATTTCCAATAAGGTATTATTTCAAGCATTATAAATTTTTAAATTCTGCCGGGCGGTGGTGGCGCACGCCTTTAATCCCAGCACTCGGGAGGCAGAGGCAGGCGGATCTTTGTGAGTTCGAGGCCAGCCTGGGCTACCAAGTGAGTTCCAGGAGAGGCACAAAGCTACACAGAGAAACCCTGTCTCGAAAAACCAAAAAAAAAAAAAAATTTTTAAATTCTGAATTCTTTCTCTCCAAATATTAATTCTTCCATTATACTTAAGTGTGAGCCTTTCTTCTTCATATTATCTGTAATAAGATTCAGCTGTCTTCCTCTAATGCCCAGAGAATAAACATTTACTAACTCTAGTAGAGCTAGCAACAGTATTTTACAACTCTTACTGAATATGTTTTCAATCTCCCTTTCTAAATTTTTAAATATCTTTCAATAACTACTAAAAAATTAGGAGCAGAAAATTATATTGGAAAATATATTAACCAAAACTTAGTAACTTAAATTGGCTAAAATAAAGAACAGTTTAGACCTCTACATTGTAATCCCCTAATTTTAAATCTAGTTCAAGATATGCTACTAATACAGCAATTACTAAGGAAGAGAATGTGTAGACACACTTCCCACAAAGATTACAAGGATATAAAGCATCAATATTCGAGTTGGTTTCTAACATGAGTATTCTTAACTGAGATGCTGAGTGAAACTGTCTGAATTCCTGGTAGAAAAGGAGATGTTTGGGTTCAGGAGTTATCTAAAGAGCAGTCAAAAGGAGTCCATGTGAACAGGGTTCTCTTCAGTGAGGGCTGGAGATTCCCATCACAACCAGAAAAAATATATAAAGCATGGATGACAATCATCTAAATCAGTGGTTCTCAACCTTCCTAATAATTTGACCCTTTAATACAGTTCCGCATATTGTGCTGACACCCAACCCTAAAATTATTTTCATTGCTACTTCATAACTAATTTTGCTACTGTTATGAGTCATAATGTAAACATCTTGGAGATAGAGGTTTGTCAGGGGTCACAACCTATAGGTTGAGAACCACTAAGAATGGTCTGAGTAATTACCTATGCAAAAGTACCTAAGTCCTACAGTTGGCTGTACTGATAGAAAAAGTGAAACTGCAGTGGGAAAGTCCTGTGTCCTTCATCATATTGCTCACTACTCCATCCATTTCAAGACTAGTCATCAACTTACAGGGTTTCTCCTCACTCTGTCACATGAGGATTCCAGAATCGTGTAGTTCATTAAAGTGAGGAGAAGGCCCATTCTACAACTGGGAGCTTATTCTGTCTAATCATGATACATCGAGTAAGTTGTAAGGAATAAAACTTTGAAGACAATGAACATTCAAATACTTCATATAATGAAGTAAATTATCTTAATTTACAGGACACTAAAAGTAAACTAATTTTTAAACATCTAATATTATCTTTTACATTTTTAGTGGTAAAAATTTTAATCTATAAAATGCAATCAGAACCACCTTTATTCAAATGAATATTTGACTTTGATGAAATTGCTATACATTATATGCTATTGGCTATAAAATGTTCTAATTATAAAGAGTTTTGTATTGCAAAGGTCCAAGAGAGGTACTTTTCCCAAATAAAGTAAAAATCAAGATTTTCTAATACAAACACAAGAGGGGGACCTCCATAAAATAGTGAATTTTCTACCATAGCCTTATTTTTGAGTAAGGCTTGGTTATATGCTAATACTCATTTTAATGTCTTGAAACTACATGCTAGATGCAGAGATCCACAGTCAAGCACCAGGCCAAGCTCCAGGAGTCCAATCAAAGACAGAAAAGAGGGATGATATGAGCAAGGGGGGAGGGAGGGGTCAAGATCATGATGGGGAAATCTACAGAGACAGATGAACCAAGCTCATGGGAGCTCACGAACTCTAGACCAATAGCTGTGGAACCTGCATGGGACTGGATTAGGCCTTCTGCACATGGGACAGTTGTGTAGCTTGATCTGTTTGAGAGGCCCCTGGCAGTGGGATCAGGATCTATCCCTGGTGCATGAACTGGCTTTCTGGAGCCAATTACCTATGGTGGGATGCCTTGCTCAGCCTTAATGCAGGGGGAGGGGCTTGAACCTGCCTCAATTGAGTGTACCAGGCTTTGCTAACTCCCCATGGGAGGCCTTACAGTTTCTGAAGAGGAGATGGGGGGGGGGGGCTGAGAGGGAGCAGGAGGAGGGATGAGAGGGAAAATCTGTAGTTGATATGCAAAATGAATAAAAAAAATTCTTAAAAGAAACTACATGCTAAATTATATAGACAAAATACACATATAGACAAATCAATTTTTAAAACATGTAAATAAAATAGTAGATGCTTTCCAAGCTACCTCCTGTGTCACAAAATGTAATGACACTATAGTGTCATTATCTCATCTCTCAGTATGTAGATTATCTCAGTCAAAAAGTCAGACACAACATGCAAAAATAGTGATAACAAATAGTGATTACAAAGAACATAATAAAATTCTTCCAAGCTAGAAGCCAGACTTTGCAATACAAAGTTTTCATTCACAACTCACTTTGAAGAAATTGTCTTTTATGTTACTTAATCAAAATCTTCATTTAAGTAACAGAAAAGCCTCCACTAACATGTTAAAAGTATTAGTTGCCAATACCTTGACTGATCAAACCATTTTATGATTCATATAGGCACAAAATTTCATCTTCCTTTTTAAACAAGTATAGCCAAGGGAACATGAAAATTATAACATTAGCCACAGAATTCACTACTTAATCACCATGGGGCAGATCCACCGTGAACTTCAGAGAATCTAATGGTTAATGCACGTAGAGGTCCACATTCTCCACATCCCACTTTGAAAACAAGGGATACAAAGGACACATGTAAATTAAGCATTCTTCCCGGATCAAAGTCAAGAATTTGTCACAACCCTACAGAGTCAGTTTGGGGTATCCTGGGTGGGGTATCAAAACACAGAGGAAAGAGCCAAGACTAGTGGTGAACAGTGTGCACAGAGTCCTATATCCTAAACCAATGAAGGCAGATGGTTTTTCTTCAACCACAGAGGAAAATTCTTCAGAATTACACTACCTACCCTCTCTGGATGATGGTTTAGCACAGTGGTTCTCAACCTTCCTAATGCTGTGACCTTTTAATACAGTTCCTCATGTTGTAGTGACACCCAACCATAAAATTGCTTTCATTGCTACTTCCTAATTGTTATTTTGCTACTGTTATGAATTATAATGTAAATATCTGTGTTTTCTGATGGTCTTATGCTATCCCTGTGAAACCTCCACAGAGGTTTGTTGTTCAAACCTCCAAAGAGGTCACGACCCACAAGTTGAGAACCACTTCTCTAAAGCATACAGGAATGTTTCTCATTAATTGTGCTCTCCCTCTCTATGGTCTAGGAAGATTCAAAACTGAGTTTTTTCTCCACAGTGTACATCATATCAATCCCTTTTCCAAATCAAGAAATTTACCCATTAGCATGTTATTCCACATACTCAATGGGGATTAATATACTATGTTTCTCTCTATGCTGTATTATATCATAAAGTGGTTCCTTTAAACTGATTCAATGATGATTGATTCACTTAACAGTTGCAGCTGACTTAGAGGTTAAATCCAAAGAAACCATTACCAAAGGGTACAAATCACTGGGCTCCATCTTCTCATTTTATACAAGAAACTAAGGCCCAAAGAAATGAAGTAACAGGTCACAGACACTGGGTTCTCAGCACCTAAGACGAAGTCCCACCACACAAGTGGGTGAACGGCCATGTTTACTGACATCCACAGCCGCTAGAAATGAACCCAGCCTAGAAGTCCATCAATATATGAACGGGTGAGAAAATGTGGTACAGGTACACAATGCAATTTTACTTGGCCATGAAGGAGAATGAAAACATGGCATCTGCATAAAATGAATGGGACTTGAAATTACTCTATGAAGCAAAGTACCCCAGACCCAGAAAGACAGATATCATGTGCTCTCTCTCATATTGTAAGCTAGATTTTAATTTTATATATGTAAGGGCAACAGTTACCAACTAGAAAGGGCTAAGATGGAGGAAGAATAAAAAAAGAGAGCAGAAATTATGACGTAAGAGCAAGAGGGCTCTGTGAATGAGGAAGGAAACCAACAAGAGGGAACCGAACTGGGGTGGGGAGAGCAGAGGATGAAGAAAAACAGTAAGAAAATCCCATAATAAAATCAACATTTTGTGTGCATGTTAAAAGCGTTAATTAAAAAAAAGAAAAAATTTAGGTCCTAAATGTGATATGATCAGGAAAAACATCCAAGACCTATTTTTTCCAAATCAATTTTCCTTCTCTTATACCATGTCAGCTTCTGTTTTTGTTTCATATTTCTTTA